GCCGGAGGAGCTGGAACTAAACTCCCTCCAGTACATGTAATCCATGCCACCTGGCCCCAGTGAGAAGCCATACTTTCTTTGAGAGGAAATCTGGAAAATCAGACGTCCCGTAAAGATTGTGTGTGGTTCTGCAGAGACGTGCTTCTCTGAAACAAACAGATTAATGGAGTATTAAAAATGGGGCAGTCGTGGCCTAATGGATTGAGAGTCGGACTTGTAACCCGAAGGTTGCGGGTTCGAGTCTCAGGTCCAGCAGGGATTGTCGGTGGGGGGAGCCAGTGCACTCTCCACCTTCAATACCACGACTGAGGTGAGACCCTTGAGTAAGGTACTGAACCCCCAAATGCTCCCCGGATGCCGCAGCATTGGCTGCCCACTGCTCCGGGTGTGTGTTCACTGCTGTGTGTGTGCACTTGGATGGGTTAAATGCAGAGCACTAATTCCGAGTATGGGTCACCATACTTGGCCACACGTCACTTCACTTTTTCACTTTCGCTTATGCTTCGCTTCATTCTAGGGCCTGTGATGCAACACCTTTTCCTGGTGTGCGCGGAAAAATTCACGTCAGCTTTGGGAGTTGCTAAGATTAAATCACATTTTCTTGGCACGTTTAATTGGTTTCGAGTACTTGCAGTCTCGTTTTTATTTGTGATTTTTGAGGGCATAGATGTGTGGTTTGGAGTCGTCTTGTGTAAATGTAAACCAGGCATGCCCTTGAGTGTTTTGTGTGATGGTTTCCCTCATCGCAGCTGGTGTTTTCAATGGGTTTGACTGAATTTAGAACAGCACTAAAGTAAAATATGTGCACTTCCCAATTATTTATATGCTGTATGATACATTTTCAGAATTTATTGTGGTCTGATTTGCTGACATGTGAATCTTGCGCATCCACTTATTGATTACTTGTGGCTAAAGTAAAAATGAAATTAAAATTGACCCTGGTTTTTTTTTTTTTCAATGCATGTTCCTGTTCTTACTTCACCAGTGCATGTTTTTCCAGTTGTTTATCTTGATAATCTTTAATAAAAATGTAATTTTGATTTAAACCCTAAACTAACTCTAACTTTCCTTTTTGTCTGACTTTATAATCCAATCCAATCCTTTTCCAAACTCTCATTCAAACCGCCTGACTCCCCATTTAATGCCAATTTATAACTAAACCAATCCAGGATTTCTTTTGCATACACTACTGTTCGTTACTGTACTGTTTTTTAAAAATAAATTGATAATTTTAGTTTCAAAAAGTTTCAAATAGACGTTGTTCTTTTGAACTTTCTATTCCTTTTCTCTATTCATCAAACAATCCTAAAAAAATATATTGCCGTTTCCACAAAAATAATAAGCAGCACAACTGTTTAGCATTGATGAGAAATATTTCTCTTTTTTCTCACCAAATTAGCATATCAGAATGATTTCTGAAAGATCACATGACATTGAAGACTGGAGTAATGATGCTGAAAATTCAGCTTCACATCACAGGAATAAATTAGCCTACATTGCTGCTTTTATTGTATTTTTGATCAAATAAATGCAGCCCTGGTGAGCTAAAAGACGTCATTCAAAAATATGAAAAATGTTACAATCCCAAAAGTTTGAAGTAAAATGGATTACAAATTATACTTTACGTTGACTTTAAGATACCTTGGGATCCTATTTTTAATTTTACAATAACTACCGATAACTTCTTCAACATTTCAGACCGAAAACTTTCCACATTGAGGGTTTGTTCACATTTTTCATGTTAGGTTTGATTAAAACGAACTCTGGTGCGATTGCTCTGTTAGTGCAGTTCGTTTAAGTGTGAACACTGCCATCCGAACCCTGGTGCGCTCCAAACAAGCGGACTGAGACCACTAAAAAGATGGGTCTTGGTCCACTTCCAAATAAACTCTGGTGTGGTTTGAATGAAATATGAAAGCAACACGGACCAAATGCTTCCAAACGAACCAAAAACAGGATGTGATGGCAAGATGCGACGGTGTGCGACATGATTTGACGAAGCGGACTGAGCTGTGTATCTAAAACAAAATGAGCAGACGGCAACCGTGAAGCAACGAGGAGGTAAAGTGCCTTTTATGAGGTATTCGTGAGTTTGCAGGTGGTAAAAATAAAATCATGTACACGCAACAATGAGTGCGCTTAGTTCAGCAGACGGCCTTTAGGTTCGCTATCTTTAGGTTCGCTGTCAAAAATGGCAGTGTGAACGCTAAGCGGACCAGGACCAAATTTTCTTTTTTGGTCCGGACCAAACAAACTAAGGGTGTGTTCACACTTGTAGTTCGGTTCGTTTGGTTCATTTGGTCAGGACCAAAAAGGAAAATTATACATTTGGTCCTGGTCCACTTAGTGTTCACATTAGCATTTTTGACAGCGAATCTGAAGACACCGAACCTAAAGGCATAGTGATACGTTCACAACCTGATTGGTCGGCTTGAATGACGTATATATCATGACGGAACTCACCGAACACCCCAAACAAAAGGTGTGTTAGACTTAAAGCGGTGCCGCGGGTGTATGATATCAAAGCACACATTAACGATCGGTCTGCTCAGTGCCGCTTTAAGTCGAACACACCTAATGCCGTCTGCTGGACTAAGCGCGCTCATTCTTGCGTGTACATATAATTTTATTTTTACCACCTGCAAACTCACAAGGAGCTTATAAAAGACACTTTATCTCATCGTTGCGCCACGTTTTCCCTCTGCTCATTTTGTTTTGGTTACACTGCGTCGTCAAATCATGTCGCATAGCGTCGCATCTTGTCATTACTTCCTGTTTTTGGTTAATTTAGAAGTGTTTGGTCCGTGTTGCGTTCATATATCATTCGAACCGCACCAGAGTTCGTTTGGAAGTGGACCGAGACCCATCTTTTTAGCGGTCCCGGTCCGCTTGTTTGGTGCGCACCAGGGTTCGGATGTGAGTTCACACATGCTCAAATGAACCGCACTAACAGAGCAATCGCATCAGGGTTCGTTTTAATCGAACCAAACATGACAAGTGTGAACGCACCCTAAGAGAACTGAACTACAAGTGTGAATGCACACTGAGTGTGGTGAATGTTTTTTTGTCTTTAGTTTTAGGTGTGCATCTTTTTATTATGGGTAAAAAATTATGATTTTTTGATTACACTATTACAATACATATATTTTTCTATTTGTGTGTGCATCGTTTCCTACACTTCAATTGTAGTCTGATTCACAATGAAAGACTGTTTAATGAATTTGCCAAAAAGACTCCTGAATCAGTCTAAAATTCATTCACCCACAGGTTTTGCGGTTCTTTGCTCTTGTTTCATTAAAATAAGTCATTATTTTCATCCCGTGCAACTCAATATGAACCTGAGAACTCTTACTGTTAGCCATGTTTAGTGTATAGTTGGGCCCAGTTATAGTGAGATGGGATTTCTTCGTAAAAATTTCCAAAATAATTGTTATAATGAATTGTTAAGGTCCTGAAATGGGAAATTCTCTCAGATTCCCATTCCCATCCCTATTAGTGTTACCCAGCCCTGCTTGTCAGAAGCATGTTGTTGGAGTAAACCCATCCTCATAGACTGAGTGATTTTCCTTTACTCTAGGCCTCATTCCTCTTGGAACAGCTGATGTTTATGGTTACATAACATGGCTAAGCTGAGATGTCCTGCTGTGTGTTAGACTGCTCCAGATACTGTTGTTATGCTGACAGACAGGTTCCTTTGTTCCAGGTGGACATAAGGAGAAATGTACACACACTTATTGTGGAGCGAGCTGCGTTACGTCTGCTTGACATGTGATGGATATTGTCAGTTCTGTTGAGCTTTGTGACAGCAAATATGGCAGGCTGGGAGGGAATGTGTCAGCGTGGCAGATTGGTAAAGGGTGGTTTACACCCGCCCCGCTGCGTGTCAAAAATGTGTCATGGCATCCTTCTGCTCTGACCTTGTATGTATACTGACCAGGAAAAGCCCACTTGAGTGACGTGCACTTCAGATCTGGCTCTGATACAAAACCTAGTGTGCTGCCTATGTAGGGAACATTGTAAGGCATTCCAGTTGACCGAATGCTAAGGCATCACATGTTTAACACAGAAGCCAATCAAAAAATGCATTGCAACAAAAAAATTCATTCAAGCTGGTGAACATAGAGAGAGAATGTTGATTATAAAAACAGTTCATTCAGTACTGAAAATTAACAGCACAGATCAACACTATTGAAATTTATTGCAAGTCAAACCCTGCGAAAGCACTGTTTGGACGGCATACGGAGTGTTTTAAAATCATTCACTTATGAGATTTTATTCTATTTGTTATAAAAATATTTAAGATGTTGTACGAAGTGAGAGAAATGTTGAATATAAATATTTAAGTTCAGTTAATATGATACTAATAAAAAAAACGAATTAAAATGGGTCATTTTAATTGTATTTTAGTATTTTCATACTAATATAGTATTTATTAGTACTTTAAATTATCTTATTTATTTATTTTTTAAATTTTGCACTTTAAATTTAGTTTTAAGTTTTAGTAATTTTGTTATGGTCTTTTGCTATATTTTTTTATAAAAAAAAATTCTAATTTATTTTCAATTAGGCTAAGTTTTAATAATTTTAGTACTTCAGTGTAAACAGTTTTTTTTTTTGTTAGTTGTCAAATAAACATTTCTAATTTTTGTTTAGGTTTTTATTTTAAGTTTTTATATTTCAATTTTTCATTTTTTCATCTATTCATAATTTATTTCAGCTACCATTTAATTAACAAAAACTATTTTCATTAGTTTTAAGTCAAGTCCCAATATTTGTGTATGCTATGCATTTTTACACTTAGAGTATTGAGTGAATTGTTTAGCAATATGCTAACGTCAAAGTTTATTGAAATCAAATGCTAGTTGAGTCTTCTAATGTGCTTTTTATATGTAGAGTGCTCCAAATTGCTTACTTGAGAGGCTGTACTTCAGTTCAAGATGCAGACAGCATTAATTATAGCTGTTGTGTAATTTCTGTTTTTTTTTTTGCTCTTTTGACAGTTCATTCTTATCGAGCGAAGAGGAACCGACACACAGAGCTGGGTTTCGGCTAGAGGGGGCGCTATGAGCCTCTGAGATTGTCCTTTCTTTCCTGTCCCGCGTCTCTTTTGACTCGTCTTCCCATTCAACAGTGGATGGTGACCAGCCAACAAGCCCCAGAGGAGCCGTGAGGTGTTTCTCACATCCTCATCTGCCAGGACACACTCCTCTTATTATCAAGCCCAGTCACTTCAGAGAAAGCCGCCACCGTCGCCACAATGAGTTCCCACAGCCGCCCAGGTAAGAGCTCTCCGTGGCCCTTCAGTGCCTTTCGTCTTGGGTTACCCCTCTCTGAACAAGATAAACACTGTTGAATCAGCTCTGCTCCGGTTTCAATTACGTCTGTCTGTAAATAAACCTTTTGTGATCCAGATATGTGCCATTACAAACCTGTTTCTCTCGGTAAAGGAGGATAGTGTTTCTCTGCTACAGGAATAGCACGTGATTGGGCTTCGAGGGTTGAGAATCAGCCTTGAGATGCCAGAGAAGGCTTTTAAGCAGCTTTTTGATTCACACTCAAATATCTGTCCCCTCGACTCTGCCAAGGCCGCCTTGTCCAACTGTCAGCTCGAGGAGGAGTTTGATTATTCTTGGAAAAAATCATAAGCTGTGCTTTTTCTCCCTGCCTCCCTCTCTTCCTTTATCTTTCCTCTTCTCTCTTTCTGCTTATATTTTCCCTTTTGTGTTCGCAGAGGAAAAGGTCATAGAGTTTCATATGCTGTCTTTTTTCATCGAATCATCTGCTAGACTGATGAGCACTAGTCGTACGGCTTCATTCTGTGAGTGGCCGTTGGGTTAGTAAAGCAATGAGCCATGAGTGGTCAGTTACAGGGATTTTACCATGAGTAAGTGCTGTTCTTGGCCTAAAACCGCCTTAGTTGTGGTAAAATCACTGTGATGCAACTGGATTATTGCTTTTATAAAATTATGGTGATGGCATTGTGATTAAACCACACTAAAGATTTACATTCATGAATGATAATACACTAAATTATAAATACTAAATTATGGCCATATGATATGAATGGGTACCCCCTTTAGTGTAAGTCTATGGGATTTTGCTGTTCATTTTATCATTTAAGTTACCGTGCGGTCTTACATATGTAAGCATAAAAGTTAATTTAAAGAGAAAATTACGTTTTCATGACCATAATAAAAAAAAAAACATACGTTTTATATGTGTATATATATATATATATATATATAAACAGGGGTGCACGTAATATTTTTAGCCTGGTTCTCAAAAGAGCACCTGGAGATTTGGTTTGGTCCTCACACTGCACATAGTGTGACCCATTAAATATAACTATAAAAAATTATAATAGTGATAATAATATTATTGCACTTTATGCATAATAAATATACACAGAACACACATATATTATGCAAACAAAAACTTTTATTTTGTATGCGATTAATCTTTTTGACAGCACTAATATATATATATATATATATATATAGTTATTAATAGCTCAACACATTATTAACACCGTTAATGTCTAAACAGCTGGCCACAAAAGTGAGTACACCCCTAAGTGAAAAAATACTTTGTTTGGCCGACTAGAAATCAGTGGTTAAGTTGTATTTACAGCACTATTCCAGAACAGTTGAACACAAATATTCAGATGTGTGCAGCGCATTTTATGGAGGACTGTTTCCTGATCCTGGGAAGTAGCCTACGATGCCGGCTGTTCTGACTCACAGACTGTAAGTACGTTTTCATATTTAAAGGATTTGCCACTGATGATTCAAACGCGAGTTTTGAGCAGTGTAGAGTAGCGCTTGTTGTTTGTCGTTTCT